CTTTTTCGTGAAAGTTCTGAACGAATGGTATGAAGTTCATCGTGTCCCTCGAGCAGAGAGAGTTCATTGGGCAACTCTTGCAGGGACGAATGGAGACGTTACTGGCGCCCGCTCGAGGAACTCGGTGATCAACGGGAGCACAGGTGGCACAGATGATTCATTGAAGCGGGATGTGCTTTCGGACCTAATAGCTTTGTCGCGTCCCTAGCCCACTGCATGGGTGACGGGGCACTTCCGAACTGCATTCTCTTCTTGATACTTCCTGATTTTCAACTAATCGTAAAAAAATAAACTGTTTCGTTACCATGTTGCTATTAGGTGATGTTGCACGTGACGAACTCTGAAAAATCGAAGCGAAAGCAGTTTGTTATCGAGATGACAGGAAAGCTGTCAAGGCAATTACTATGGTCAGCGAGGTGCTATCAATTGATCTTGATGCTGGCGAGCGTCCCGGAGTATACATCTGCAAGAAGGACACGGAGCGAGTAAAACTATACCGGTTCCTTTTTGCAATTTTCAGTGATTGTAGGGTATAGTTCTCTCATGATCACATGTGAGCCAACCTGAGCTGATCCCTTGCTTTCTTCTTTCTTTTTTGCTTTTTCACTTCTTTGTTCATTTTCCTAAATCAAGTTCCAGATTATAACGTCTTTTCCAATAGCACTCTATCTTACGTTGAGAAATCGATATGGTCTGGGAAGCACATTCTGTTGACGTTTAGAAGTCTTCTGGGTACATCTTAAGTTGTTTTGTGCCACTCAAGGTTGGTAGGTGAGACTCTTTATCCCATATAGGCTAACGTCTCGACTGACTTGTCGTCTACAGAGGCCTGAACATGTTCCAAGGACTTGATCACGTTCTACCCTATCAAGCGCCTCGTCATCTCTAACAGTTCAATGTCCGGAATTCTTCGAAAAGACCTCAACATCGCGAAAACCAACTCATCGACAGCCCCACCGTACAAGCGACTGTGACGGCTGCCACACAAGAGCGATAGTCAGTTATAAGTTAAAAACGGTACAAAGGCTAAAGCTAATTATCGCTATTGTGTGGCAACTGACTTTGTCGCTCATACGATGGTACCGTCGGTGACTTTTCTCGATATTTGGACCTTCCCGAGTGCCATATTGAATTAAGAGTACCACCTACCAATCTCGTAAGGCAGAAAGCAGCCCGAGTACTTACAACCACAATGCCGAGGTTGCACGAAGACAAAAGCTGGAGAGTTCCACTGAGTAGTTTGTTGGTAGTTAAACATTCCGATGTCCTTTATCTTCCGCAGGCCCATTCCCTATGGACGCTAACATACCCATTCCGTTTCAAGTGCACCTTTTTCCCTGTTTGAAACGAGATTCACTACTTTTCAATTCAAATTCACCACTCTTTGGACCGCGATTCGCCGCGTTCACCGCGATCGGGTTCCAACCATATACATCAAGAAAGACAGCTCTGGTACTGTGGATATCCCCCGCAAAGGATCGTATTCTGCAAAGGTAGTCCGCCCTGGAACAGGTGCCTCTAATTTTTCCCAGGTCGATAAGAATGCTGTTTTCATTTTGAAAAAAAAGGAAAACCAACTACGAGCAATGAAGCTGCAGAAGCTCCTGAAAACTGCAGAAGCATATCTTTGTTCACCTCAGAAGTCTTTGGCTGGATTACGTCGATGTTCACCTCATCATGCCCATGACTTTCATGTGGAGCATCGTCACAAGGTTGGCAGCCTTCCTTCCATTTTAGTGGTCTGTGATACATAGCGTTGTGCCTTGTACAGTATGCATGTACAGTATGCATATACTGTGTATATAGTTCTGTATTACGGCATCATGGGACTGCATCGATACAAGATTATTCCGTAGTAATACGATGCTTACAGGCTCAGTTGCATTTACAACTGTTGGTAAGCGCAAGCACATCACATCTAATGCAGTGAAGAACACCAGGTACCGCAGGGATGGGAGGGCGTAACTCACTCACGCACATCATTCGGAAGTGACGCTGGATGGCTCCTAGTGGGATATGGCCGTCCGCATTAGTGCGGTTGTACTCATCTACTTATCCAACACAAGACAGGATAAAGCTGTCTCAAATGAGGAAATTCTATCGGAAACTCATTTTTCGCCATCTCCATGTGAAGTAAGCAGCCACGCCCTCGGCATCTGCGAGATGTGGAGGACGCTACCATGCTATCGCAATCATTTGGAAGAGTAAGAGAAATTCTCCCGACGCCTGCTGCTCATCATAATAGACAAGCATTTTTGATAATGCAATGGTGACCATGTGTCAAGGTAATATCACAAACTGTACGCCGTTTTTTTCAACCTGCTTCGAGCAAACTTCATCACAATGCATGAATAATATCAAAGATTATAATGATGTTACGATTACGATCGTCACGTAGCCCTGGGAAACCAAGGTTAGGATAACCACTTTTGTCTCAAAGTATGTGGCGACTTTCCAGGACAAACTGTCGCGGGACGGTGGCAGGACTAGGTGGGATAGTCCCTCAGCTGCCCTCTGAGCCGCCGTACGAGCGCGACTGCACCGGTGAATAGACCTCCTGCGATCCTTACTGGAACTCCCGCAGTCCGACGAGCTTCCGCGGGGCCGTACCGTGTTCCCTCCACGGCTGAGGCCGCTACCCGGGGAGTATACTGACCTGACCCGGAGCGCACAATCCATGCCAACCAAGCAGCAAACAGTTGTGAGACCAACAGCCAAATACCTAAACCTACAGCGCTCTGTCGGGCCCCTTGCCCTGGCGCCTTGTCGGGCGTCCCTTTCTCCGATAACTACACAGATTTATAATAAACTCGCATTTATTATGTCTCCTATCCATACATGAGGCGGAGGTGGTGTAGTGACAAGTGGCGCGCTTACCACTCGCGCGGCGCCGGGTTCAAATCCCGGGTCGACTCCCGCCCAGGCCAACCAAGCCTTCTACCCTCCGGGGACGGTAAATTGGTACCAGATTCGTCTGGGAGGATAAAACAGACTTGTACATCGGCTGGCCACCGCAAGTCATTGTATAGGCCACATCGCATCAATAAGCCACTACGATTCTGAATGGAAGTAGAATGCGTGCCGCATCCCACAAAGGGATTGATTAACGGCGAAGACTTTATCCTTTATCCATACATGATGACGGCCTACTCTTCACCTCATGAAAACCCACGGAGTCGACCATCCATCGTTTGACTGATAAGAAAACATAAACGGCAATGGCACCCCGGACGCTGCTCTCGCAGCCACAGCCGGTCGCACCCTCGGGCTAACGGGTGCGAGCTGCCGCCAGTGCTCCGCCCAGTGGCAGTGTGCCCGATCACACCGCCAATCCGGGCCTCATTGCGGCACCGAAGTGCCCGGCGCTCCCCTCCTCCCGAAGGGAGAGAACGCGCCGAGTGGCTGGCCTGTCCCTTATATAGCGCCGACTGGGGGCGTGGCCGTGACGCGGCTTCCGTCGCACGCGTCGCGGCTTTGGCCTTAGAGCGCCACAGAGCCCAGGCGCACGGCCGCTCGGCGACTTGAGTCGCGTTCCGCGACACGGACCATCTTGTATTCTCACGACATTCGATAAGCTTCGTTACCGTGTGGATGTGATCGATCGTGCTGAATCCTCTTCGAAACCCTGCTTGCTCGCATGGCTGTCCTTCATCTAGTGTTCTGCCAATCCTGGTTATGATGCTCGTGTTTAAAGCCGGCAGATTGTATTCAACAGACACTGGGCAACAGTTGCCAACGTCTTCCTGGGAATCGCGTTCTCTTCAGTAACATAGCGTGCTGGTGTTTCACGAGGTGAATTCTCCGCAGTTCGGCAATCAGCTCGAGAGGAGACGAGCAAGTGTGTTAATGAGAATTAGTGGAAGACTCTTCAGATGCTCGTGTCTGATACCGTCGAGACCGGGTGTTGCACAATTCCATAACTACGCGATGGCGTATTACTACGTACTTTGAACTTATACTGGAAGAACGACATCCTGTTTCAAGCGATACAATGGCAGCTTGGTGAGGCTGCCAGAGATAGTGAAGTATATGTAGCATGGGAGAAGACAATTTAGCGGTGTGGGTGACCTTGGGTGACCTTTGGGGGAGTTCAATTTACATGATTCACCCTCGGGGATACCTTAAGTGAGTGATCTGGAAGCCCACCAATCCTAACTACAGTGTAGCTCACCGCGGGCGGTTGAGCGTGTCAGGCGGGATGATTTTAGCGCTGTGCTCGTTCGCCACCAGTTGTTAATGCGAAATTGATATGACTGTATCATACCCTTCGACATCCGCATACTGCCTGACACACCCAACCGTCCGCAACGAACTAGAGTGTACTCCACTAGCTTGAGGGTGACAGCTGGACCTCGTCAGTCGGCATTCCCAAAGGTTTATTTTATTTTTCGCTCGTCATCTCGGTCTCACAGTCGGCCCAAGTTTTGGGGGGGGGGGGAAGCGGGGCGTTGCAGTTGCTTTTGCTAAACTCTGCCGCTCCCGAGAAAACTGTTGTTCTTTGCCCCTTGACATGCCTTTTTGCTTTCCTGATTACTTTTTTTGTGGTAGTTTTCTGTTGTCTTGAAACTTGGAGCTACAAACTTTAGTGTCAGGGACAACTTCAATAACAATTCCTTCAGAACCAGAGGTTTCGTACCACGATAATCACAGGATTCGACTATCCAATGTTCATTCTAACCTGCTTGATAAACAAACAAGGTACCGGAAGTATACAAAAATTTTGAAGGCACGGCAAGCATGAAGCGTTTAAAACTTTCGCAGCTCAAAAATTCGGGAGTGCGGTTGGTCCGCCATCAACGTTTTCCTCGCAGAATGATAAGAGTTAGGTGATAAGGGAGAAGAGCCGATTCAGCTACGGGTCTCATTCTCCCAAACTTCAGGGCACCATTGACACAGCGGTGTTGGGCGGAACCACTCGGGAGAGGCTGCAAGAATGTCAGAGGCAACGGAGAAGTAAATCTGCCCAGGACCAGAATGACGATCTCTACTCTGAAGATACGGGCGCTCGCATCGGAGGCTTACCTCAAAGGTCTGATGATGCAAGCCGGGAAGATCAAGTGCGACGTCATCTGACTGACTCGAACGAGAAAACATCACCCCACCCACTACACGCCGTCACCGAAACCGAATCTTTCCTCGCGACATGAGGCGTCGACGATGTGGTTGCCCGCGTCAACACGCACTTGGCCATGAACATCGATTAGTACGGACATCTCACTGCTCGGATCGGATTTTGCCAGGAGTCAGGAACGACTAAAAAACTTCACATCGGAGCTTACCGGAATAGGAGTGGAATGAGCAGGGTGAAAGGCTGTCTGAGTTTATCATGTCGACCCACACCATCCATGGTAACTCGCAGTTCCAGAAGCCCTACTCTCTACGCTGGACATGGGAGTCTCCTGGTGGACAATTCCATAAGAGATCGACCACATCATCTTCAATCAGAGGTTTCGCTTGATCGAGCCCGCTGTTGTTCTGTAAGTGGCACATGAATAGCATCGTCTCCTTCAAGATTCCGCTTCTTGTACGAGAAGAGCCGCATAGTTCTAGAAGCGGAGTATCAAGATTGTAATTATCGGGATCACTCCAGTTGTCTCGCAGGGTTCTGGCCTCCTTTGTTGGCAACATCGACGAGGATACAGAAGGCTTGTTGAACATTCCCTCGGATGCACCATTAAGTCAGAGAATTCCAGGTTTACCATGAAGTATGTAACACGGGGACAATCGGGCCGACTGGACAACGTGGAACCGCACGAGCTGCAGGCAGCTTTCATCTCCTTATGACCTTGTGACCTTGCCAAGTTATGCAAAGAGGCGATAAAAGACCTTGAAGACAGGAGAGCAGCAGTAGCTTTGGGAGCAGCAGAGGCTGGGAATAGCATATAGGAATATATTCACACGCTACGACTTCGTCAACTGTAAATCGAGATGATCGCTTTCCGACGTCCAAGAGGAGAAATCTCTGCATAGCGAAGAGCAGTGGGAAATATCGTCAGCGACTTCTATGAGCTCCACCTCACTTTCTCTGATAGCCTGATCCAGCTGTCACAGTACCGCTCAAAGAAGAAAGGAGCGTCCCTCAGTGCTCTTTCTGGAATACGACACGCCATAGTGTCGGTGAGGAATTGTGCAACACCAACCCCCGACAGGATCGAACTTGAGCATCTGAAGAATCTCCTGCCAGTTCTCGTCAAAACTCTTTTGCCACTCCTCACGCGCTACCTGTCAGAACGTAGTGTACCCGTTTCAAGCAAATCAGCAGTAGTGTGATTCCTTGCAAAAAGGGGGACGTGCACGACAACGGTGATCATCACCCAATCCGCCTGCTGTCTGTCCACAAAGTGTAGTCCACAATCTCTCAGCGCTGATCAACTTAAACAAGATCGGCAGAACACTAGGTGAAGGAAAGCTGTACAAGGTTTCGAATAGGATTCAGCACGCCGATCGCATCCACACGGTAACGAAGCTCATCGAAGTATCGCGAGAGTACAAGATGCCGCTATGTCTCACGTTCATCGACTTGAAGAAAGCCTTCGACTCCGTTGAGACAGAAGGGTTATCGAAGCTTTGGACAACTAGAGCGTTCCTTCTCACTACACCAGCATTCTTCTTGAGCTTCACAAATACAAAACATCGCAACCAGGATCTCACCATTCTACAAGGAGATCATCATCGACGAAGAGAGGGGTCCGACAGGGCGACACCATCTCGCCGAAGCTATTCAGCGCCTCTCTCGAGAACGTCATGCGTCAACTGGAATGGGAAGACATGGGAGTGAAGATCGATCATCT